TATACATATATCACCAAATATACACTGACAAATTAGTACTTTGTTCAAACTTATCATAGTGTTCACGATATTTCATATAAAGTTCAATTGCTAATCTTCATAATACAACCATTGAAGAACGCAGTAGTTCAACCAAGATGGCACTCCAAAGCATTTACCATCATAAATTAGTAATCGGCTATAACAAAATTAATGTGTTTTCTCTCTATAACAGGTTCCTTTCTATATCTCATAATCAAATCAGGAGGGGATGAATCAACAACTTACCTTCCAGAGTATGTCTCCATGGTGCAGAACTTCCCTGAAACCATTAATTAAAGAAATGACATAATTTACCAACAGTAAAACCCACCATGTAAATAAAATGAAGAAAAGAAAACATACCTCCGGAACTATTCGGTTTAAAAATGTCTCTGTGTCATGTCTGACATCAGGATCATAGTTTTCATTTATAGTCAGGGAAGCACTTGTATGCTGCACTGTTGAACAGAAATGAACTTCGATTCAGGAAAAGGAAAACGAGGAGGCGGAAGATGCTTGACATAGGTGGAGGAAACTTACAGAAGAAATGGGCAAGGCCACACTTAAAGCCCGACAGGTCTGGCGCAATCTCCTTCAGAATCTGAAACAATTCCATAGGCCATAAAGTTAAGAAGCAAAATAAGTTTATTACTAGCAAAGAAGAACATAAACTGTAATTTTGTCGTCAACCAACTACACAAAAAAGGATTATGTTCCTCTTTGTTATCGGGATAGACATATGAATATTTTCGAGGTCTACCCAAAAGCTCAAACTTATGGTAAAAGAGGAAGGGTATTAGGATTATAGTATGTCCCTGAATCAGTAACAGATATCGATTTGTTAAATGTTCAAGAAAGGGCACATCCGAGCATATAATTTCACTAAGGTTACTCCTGAACCCAAAAAAGTTCAAAATAGGAATTTAAAATAATTCAGAATCAATATTATGGGCTTAAAATCCTCCCATCAAAAGGCCGCCCCATAGAATCCCTTTATTTTTCACAAACTTGGAGCCAACCAGGGAAGAAGCATCCTTAGCTGTAAATAGATCGAAAATCGGGGTTGTGACTATACAGTGGCTCCATACCAGGAATGGAACAAGTATAGGGCAACGGTTCAGAGGTTTTTAGGACAAAGATCAAGAGCCTGGAAAGCAGGTCCTTTCTAAGCCGCTGAATATCCGAGAGCTGAAGCTGCGAATAGGACATTAAGATGGCAAATGTGGAATAGGTTCCTAAATCTTTGTTCCTAGAATGAACTCGTAAACATGCAGAAGTTCATAATCCGCACCGACTGGTAGTCACTTGATTCCTATTCTCCTTCCGACCATCCGGCCACTTAACTCCAGAAGACCGAAAGGCACGAGCTTCCGAAGTTTGTCAAAGAAGATAGCAAGTAGAAACAATCTAATATTAAGTTCGTTCATGCCAGCCTTCCTACGAGCTTCCAAAACTCACTCAACTTCCATCAAGAGTCATGAGCCATAACAATCTAATATTCTAATATTAAACCAAAGGCTGAAGCTTTTTTGACAATTATACATTTTGGGGAAAAACCCACTAGATAAAAACATTTTCTACGTGAGAAAAAAATCTTGGTAAAAGGTACAAACACGCAGAACACTACACATTCTGCAAGATTCAAATTAATTATCATTACCTGATGCCCGAATACGACGCACGCCCAAACAAACAACACAACGGATATGTAATTCAACAGTTCATTAACAGGAGCTACGAAGCTATGTTCAGTTATCGTACCTGAGAGGTGACATCATGGCAGCCTCGTCTCTTTCCGGGTATGGTAACAGTCTTCTGAGCCCATTTAGGTGCGTTTCCAACGGACGGCGATGATGATGCCGCCATGTCTATCGGACGGTGGCTGACGGTAAGTCGGCGCAGCTGGTTTGGGAGAGAGTGTTTCCTGTTTTCGATAGAAAAAATTGTTGCTGTGAGGAAGGAATGGTAATCTGGTGGTGGTGATGGGTGCTGCGATTGGGGGTGGTGGTAGTAGGAATAATTTCAACGGCGGCGCAAATCATAAATAAAGTGTGGAAGAAAATAAAAACCAGCGTATTCAAGCAATACGTTTTCTAGATAAATTATTTAGAAAACGTATTTCTTGAATACGGCTTAAATAAATTTTGAAACGAAAACGTATTCCTTGAATATGTTTACGTTAATTATCTTAATTAAGTAAATTAATCAACATCAAAACGTATTTCTTAAATACGTTTTCAAATTATCTTTTTTAATTGTTTTTAATTACCAAAACGTATTTACCAAATACGTTTTACTTTTTTTTTTCTAAATTTTTTAAAACATAAGAACGTATTTCATAAATACGTTTACGATTGGTTTTTTTTTTAAATTTTTAAATCATTAAAACGTATTTATGAAATACGTTTTAAATTTTTTTCATATTTTAAATTTAATTTAAAAGTAAAACGTATTTGTTAAATACGTTTTTAGAAGAAAAAAATTGAAAAAACTTGTTAAAATTCAATTTTTACCCAAAAATCAAATATACCTGTTCGAGCAACTAAT